CGGCTAAGCAAGTCGGGAGCCCGGCGACAACGGGCCGCGCGCCGGCCGAGCCGGGTCAGACACGGCGCGCCGCCGGGCAGCGGTGCGTGCCGGCGGAGGGCGGCGACAGGCGACAGATGCGGAGTTGGCGCCGCCTGCACGGCTGCAGCCTGCGCCCGAGCGTAGCCGGCGACCGTGAACCCAGCGACCTTGGCAGTGGGCGAGTCTCGGCCGGCGCAAACACCAGACAGCGCCGCCCGGCGGAAGCGCCGCGGAAGACGGGGACGCTCGCGTGCGCGCGCGCCCGCGCGCCGGGGCGCGCTATGCCGACGTGCCAGCAGTGGGCAGCATTGTCGCGTGAGGTTTGCCACCGCTGTCGTACTGAGACTCAGCTGATCCATCATGTAGTAAAGGCAGACGGTCGATCACGATGGTAGTGCCTCCCCTCACTCGTAGACCATAAACAACGGCGGCTGTTTCGAGAACCGACGTCGACCGTGCTTTCCCGGTTAAAGTTGGCGACATACATTACGATGCTGACGCACATGGAGTAACACATGCCATAAACATAGGACTGCGACGCCCATGCAGTCGAGTGGGTGCTACAGCACACAACCGATCATAAGTCATCCAGTGTGCAGCTGGCGCAGAAATATTCGGGACACGTGGACTAGCCAGGCCGTGGAGTAGAGGATATGACGTGAACACGATCTTGCTCAAACACGGTAAAAGGTTCATTATTTGCCACCGCCTGCAACTTTGACTTGAGAGGGGCAGTGGGAGGCCAGTCAAAAGCCTGCTTATTTCGGTATGTAAATACAGGTGCCTGGCAACGAACTACACCCAGGACAAATCAAATTTAAACGGCATTACATTTTAGACAGCTGTGCCAACAGGCTAACAGAACAGCGTGAATTTTGGAGGTGTACGGTAAGCCCACGTGACCCTGTATCGTGAATCCATATCAGGGCGGACCGTTTTTCACGTAAAAATGCGAGGATTGCGCCGCATACCACTCTTCAAACCGGCTCAGCACCTGGGTTTGCCAGATGTGCAATCGAAGCCTAATGTCACGTAAGCTTAACAGTTGCGTGAGTCCAGTCTGATACGACACATTTCTGTAGGCGTGACACGAATGCCCATATTGTTGGATAGTGTAAATCACATAATTATAATCGGTCGTTTACATGACATTTCAAATGCTGAAGGCAGGTGCCATAGCCTCGAAAGCACTTCAAACGTGAGCTAGCGTTCCCGCTCCTCTCTGATATACAAATAACACATTATTTACAGAACTGTGTCCATCTTTTAGATATAGGTGTATAACGCCACTTGCATTACAGTAGGCGCATTGAAATACCAACATACATGTTTTCTGATACCTATGAACATAGCATCTACCTGCTATTTTTCCGATAACATGATCCAAGCGATGCTGTACAACGGTTGCACCCGACAAATCACTGTCCCACCAGCAGGCCCAGAACAGGACGGCCCGCTCCACAAGTCACAATCATTGTCCCACCAGCAGGCCCAGAACAGGACGGCCCGCTCCACAAGTCACAATCATTGTCCCACCAGCAGGCCCAGAACAGGACGGCCCGCTCCACAAGTCACAATCATTGTCCCACCAGCAGGCCCAGAACAGGACGGCCCGCTCCACAAGTCACAATCATTGTCCCACCAGCAGGCCAAGAACAGGACGGCCCGCTCCACAAGTCACAATCACTGTCCCACCAGCAGGCCCAGAACAGGACGGCCGCCTCACAAGTCACCATCTGCCCTCCCGGGCGGCCGCGAACACGCGCGTAACCTCAGCTCGCCCCTGCGCCGCCGCCAGCGCCGGAGGGCCGCGGGGGACGGCACCTCACGACTCTCCGGCTGAAAATCCTCGCCGTTGCGCCACTCGGCCGAGGCCGAGTGGCGTCCATCGGCCGCCCCTTGCACAACGCACGGCCGGCCCGGAGCAGAACGGTCCGCATCGGCTCCCGCGACGTAGGAGCCCGCGTCCACGAGCAGAACGGTCCGCATCGGCTCCCGCGGCGGCGCAGGAGCCCGCGTCCACGAGAGAGAACGGTCCGCATCGGCTCCCGCGACGGCGGAGGAGCCCGCGTCCACGGGCAGAACGGTCCGCATCGGCTCCCGCGGCGGCGCAGGAGCCCGCGTCCACGCGCAGAAACGGTCCGCATCGGCTCCCGCGACGTAGGAGCCCGCGTCCACGCGCAGAACGGTCCACATCGGCTCCCGCGGCGTAGGAGCCCGCGTCCACGCAACAGAACGGTCCACATCGGCTCCCGCGGCGTAGGAGCCCGCGTCCACGCGCAGAACGGTCCACATCGGCTCCCGCGGCGTAGGAGCCCGCGTCCACGCGCAGAACGGTCCACATCGGCTCCCGCGGCGTAGGAGCCCGCGTCCACGCGCAAGAACGGTCCACATCGGCTCCCGCGACGGCGGAGGAGCCCGCGTCCACGCGCAGAACGGTCCACATCGGCTCCCGCGACGGCGTAGAAGCCCGCGTCCACGCGCAGAACGGTCCACATCGGCTCCCGCGGCGCAGGAGCCCGCGTCCACGCACAGAACTGTCTGCATCGGCTCCCGCGACGGCGGAGGAGCCCGTGCCCACGCACAGAACTGTCCGCATCGGCTCCCGCGACGGCGCAGGAGCCCGCGTCCACGCACAGAACTGTTCGCATCGGCTCCCGCGACGGCGGAGGAGCCCGCGTCCACGCACAGAACTGTCCATCATTGCGGCGGAGGAGCACGCGCCTACGCGCAGAACGGCCCGCAGTGGGCGACGTCGCTATGGCGCATCATGCCACCACATTCGAAGCCGTCAAATTAATCAAATGCGAAGCCTACATATGCCGCCCGCAAGTGGTTCGAGGGTTGGTTTTAGATTGCAATTTCTTGGTTCTATTTATTCAGCGTGAAACGTTGCATGTGGCAAATGTTAGATTGGAGAAGAAATCGAGCGTCCTTTACATGCTACAGCGTTAAGTCACTGGAGCTTCACTCAAATTATAGAAGGTCTTAGCCAATTTAAAACCAGGTCAATAGAATGACCAGGCCTCAAAGAGACGGTATCAGACCTCTTTCGCAGACACAGCTTTATCGGGCAATAAGCCCTCCGTACCGTAAGTGCTAATTTCAAGTACGTTAAAAGAACCTTGCTTTCATTTCCACAGCCAAAGCTCTGATTTATAAGATGAATATCAAAGTACATCTCACAGCGCAGTCATAATCATCAAACTCAGAAGACCGTCCGTAAATGACATTTCGTTTTTGGTAATTTCTTAACACTCTCTCCCTTCCTATTTACGTATTAGTTACACTGGATAACCCACTCCCCTGGTTACGCTGTGCTAAGCGTAACGTCCCGAAAAATAACGACATTTTGGTCTCCGATTGACCTAGAGGTGGAAAATAAATAACGACCGTGTTCCTTGTCATAACAAGAAACCAACGGTGCCCGGTGTTAAGATTTTATGTGTTTGTTTTTAAAAGACATAAGCATGAATTGCGACGACACCTGAGCGAAACGTGGCCATGCCCAAAACATCTCCTCCCTACCTTGTTACGCTTTCGTTACGCTCTATCCCCCCCCCCCCCATGCGTAACCAAATCTATGGACGACGCCAAAATGAAAAGAGCGCCCATCAAAGCCAACCGCGCTCTTTAGCGCTGCGCTGCGGTGTACATTACTAACAGCCGAGTACACGAGGATGACCCTTGTGGGCCAGACGAAGAGTCCCACACGCCAAGACGAAACTTTCTTTTTACGCGCTCAGCTACATTGGACGTGTCGACATTTTCATGGCACGGCAACTGTATAGATAAGCGCCAGGTGTCACTTCTGTCGACGGCTTCGGAACTCATTGCCGCCGAGCGCCGCCATTTCCGGTGGCTACCCAGGCTTCGGACGAGGGAGGCGACAGTTTGTCGGAGGAGCCCGCAGCCTGGCGGCAGGGTTTTGGCGTAGGGCCGCGAATCCATTGTTGTTATCATATGAACAAACTCTGAGCTCGGGTTTTTTTGGGTTTGATTCATCACAGGAATGCATCTCCAGCTGGTCATCACCGCGACAATTTGCAACAAAAAAAAACAAAAACGGTTCGAGTCTCCCCACTGCGTTGCACTAGCTGCAGTTCCAATGAACACGATAAGTACAACACGGCTCGTGCAGCTACGACGCTACTGAAAACAGCGAAATCAAGTCGCAAAGTTATCCCTGCCGCTCGCCGACCACCTGTCTGACCCACCGGGGGTCATCATAGCGGAAATGTTAAGCCCGCAGAGCTGAAAGATGTTCGAGTGATGTAAATAACTCCTGCTGCCTAAACTGAGTGTACGGGTGTTTTGTCTGCCAGATAATTCAGGTTTTTGCTCGCAGTTGGTCAGGCTGCAAACAGGTCGCAGCGATATTAAGGCACCTTAATTTTGAGCTAAACAGCTACTTCATAGATCATCTGCATATGCACCAGGAATATGTCGATGTGTCACGAGATAGAGCTGTTCAACCTTGCCAAAACGGGCACGTAAGCGAGGAGGAATGGCTAATCCAGCTGACCGTTCTTCTTAGCAATAATTCCATTTTTGTGACGTCACTATCAGAGCTTTGAGCCATTTTCGGCAAATAGTTTGTACTTCGGGATTTTGAGTCACGTTATATGCATTAAGGGCATAAGCAATTTTGATGAGGGGAAAACTTACATTTATCCTCTGCAGCTGTTAACGTTTATTGTGCCTTGTAACGCAACCAAATCGGTAAATCGCCGACGAACGATGTGCTGTGAGCGACATGTCTTAATTGGTGAGACGGCGGCCACTGTTAACCACAAGCACCTTGCACCACCTGTCCAGTTCTGTGAACGCTGTCGCAAGACAGAAGCTCATGCCTGAGCTTAGCAAAGCCACCCGCGTTTATGCTTTGCAAAGGGAGAGAGTATTACCTAGCGCCATCTGTTAGTTAAATTAGAAACTGACAGATAGAGGTCGCTGGCGATCCGCCTCTCGTGGTTTTCGCGACGCCCCCGACAGGTGGCTGCAGCTACCCGAACTGCCATCCGTATTACTAAAAGGCCATCTGGTTACCAGAACTGTAACGCATATCTGACACTACACCACGTCTGTTCCCCAGCCGAATAGATGGACGAAGAGGCGCACGCTGACTAGACACCCCCAACTCGAAGCGGCTCTGCTACGTCGGCGGTCACCGCGCACCACTGCCCTCCACCGTCACGACAGGCACGACAGGCGCCACAGGCGCCAGCGGACGCCCGCCGACCGGCAGCGAGTACTCACCGTCGCCGAGCCCGTCAGAGGGGTCAGGCTTCTCGCGCTTGATGTGGCAGGGGGCGCCATCGGCGCGACCCGGCCCGGCGAACGACGGCTCGGACACGTAGGACGGAGACGGTACTGAACTGGGCGCGCACTGCGGGGCCGCACCCTTGGCGCCGGACGACTCCAGCAGACCTGCCGCACGCGAGCGCCGCGATCACCGGCGATGCAGATACACCGAGCGAGGCGCACCGTGCACTAGCAAATGGTCGCGAAGCTGAAAGGTATGTGACGAGCCCGGCCGGCACCATAGCAGACGTGCCAGAATGGATAGTCGATGAGTAAACGTTTTGAACGGAATTTGTACACTAGTTTGAAAATAAAGTGGTTTGCATACCTGAAAACATCGAGCGGCCTCGCCTTCCAATAACTTATTCACCCATAACCACAGTGTCTTCATACTTTCGCCTGTCCTACCTCAAATTTGAAAAAAAAAACAATCGGCTTCACCCGCACCAGCGTGATCGGCAGGCGTGCTTCACCCGCACCAGCGTGATCGGCAGGCGTGCTAAAGCCATACGTCAACCGGACTCCCCAATGCTGCAGCTCAGCACCACCGGTGGTCCCTGCACCCAACAGCCCGCACGTGACGACGAGACGGCCCGCAAATAGGCAGGGCCGAAGCCCCGCCAACGGTCAGGACCTGATCGGGCCCCGCCGCGGGTCCAGACCTGACCAGAGCCCCAACGCGGGCCCGACCTGACCGGAGCCCCGTCGCGGGTCTGGACCTGGCCGGAGCCCCGTCGCGGGTCTGGACCTGACCAGAGCCCCGTCGCGGTTCTGGACCTGGCCGGAGCCCCGACGCGGGTCTGGACCTGACCGGGGTCCCGTCGCGGGTCTGGACCTGACCGGGGCCCCGTCGCGGGTCTGGACCTGACCAGAACCCCGCCGCGGGTCCGGATCTGACCGGAGCTTCGTCGCGGGTCCGGACCTGACCAGAGCCTCACCACGGGTCCAGACCTGACCGGAGCCCCACCGCGGATCCGGACCTGACCGGAGCCTCACCACGGATCCGGACCTGACCGGACGGCGACTCACTAGCTAGCAGCGGGTTATTGACGGCGATGGAGCGGGCCGGAGGGCCCGGACCCCTCTCCGCCGGACACTGGGTCCTGTCTGGCTCGTCCTGCGGGCATCAGGCGCGTGAAGTCACACACCACCACCGGGTCAGTCATCATCGCGTCTCGGTTATTCACACAAGGGTGGATCTCAGGAACACGTGTCACTTGATGACCAATAGCATTATCCGCATCAAAAGGAACACAGTAAGTGCTTGGAAAGGATATCTCGGTATCTCTGGGGAGACTTCAGTCATGACATCAGATATAGCCTTAACTCAGGTTAATGGCAGATTGCTTCAGTTGAGCAAGCATGCGTTGTATTCCATTTCCAGTTTCGATGCAATGACTAGTGATGAACTGCCACGTCCCTGGTCACAAAATAAGTACAGAGTTAACACTGAGTGCAAGACAATAACACTTAAAGACGGGCACAAGTAACAAATAATTAACTAATGCTTAACGCATGGCGGTTTAAAACGTTCTACTAAATGCATGGCCTCCTGATAACCTGGCAGAACCAGACCCAGCCAGACAACACATTTACTGCTACGCATCTGGATTCTCGACTATCTGAAGAGGGGGCAAGCAGGTGACCAAAAAGTTTACCCCCTCACCTTGACCCTCAGGTTCAGTTGTTGCAGCTGGGGCGTCAACTCGCCGGAAGCAGACAGCTGTCTGCGCATGCGCATTCGCCGCTCATTCAGTGCCGTGCGCCCGCCGTCAGCTAGCAGTTCCTCCACCTGCCGGCGGCGGCGCCACCGGCGCCAGCGGCGTCAGCACATCTCCGTCCCAGCTGGTGGCCGTGACGCCGCGTGACCAGCCGCGGAGCGGCCGGCGCCGCATCACCAAACCCCGATAATGGTGTCACCAATCTCGGTCACGGCCACCCACCCGTCTGTGTACACCCCGCTCACCGCGCCGGGCGCCCCACCGTCCGCTCTCGTCTACAAAAACCGGCGGGATCAACACAGTTTTCCGGCCAACGAAGCGCCCGAGCACGCGGAACTCGCCCCGCTCGCCCCCGTCGCCGAACGGCCAGCGCGCGGGCTTCCCGGCTCAAATAGGTCAGTGGGTCAGCGCGCGCCGGCGCCCCACCTTATACTCGGACAGCAGGTTGCCAAGGTCAAAGTCGAGGCTGACACTGGAGGTGAAGAGCTGGCGTGCCGCCTCCGAGTTGAAGGCTTCCTCGATGGCGCCCAGGTCGTTGGGGGCGGGGTCGGGCAGTGCCGTGAAGCTCACGTCCGACATGGGCTCCTCCAGGATGGCGCGCTGCGGGGCAACGTCGCCGGTCACGGTCGTCGGGGCACGGGAGCCGGGCAGGGCCAGGCGGCTGCAGTGGGCAGCGCGTCGGCCTAAAGCACGGCTCGGCTGACTGCAGGGACGTGGAAACGTACAGAGCAAGGGAGCCAGACTTCATTGGTAAGTACATTCTTTCCCAGCAACAACAAATGATTTATGTGACGCACGCGATACGCGGGGCATGTCTCCCCCCCCCCTTCCGCTTCCTCTAACGACTGCAGGTGAATGCATGCAGTCTAGCCCAGGACATGAGAACCAAGAGAGACACAAAAACGAGCAGGAAAAGCTCGTCAGCATCCAAAATTGGTCATCATCATTGAGGCTTTAGAATGCACTGCATCGCTGAGGTCATTTGCATCGCCTGCCTTTCACTCTGAGGGAAGCGCAAACGTCGTGGGAATCAAGCCCCCATCTTACGCATCACAAAGAACAGCACGCAGCACGATCATGTCTCTCGTGGCGCTAACAGATTCCGTGGCGACAAACAGAACAATCCAGCAATCGCCGACCACCGCTCGCTCCGCTGATCGCCGGCCCACGGTTCACTCACCACCTGTTCTTCGGCGGCCATGTTGGGGTCCGAGCCGGGGCCCGTCTTCGCCATCTGACCACCCCCGCCGCCGCCAGGACGACCGCCGCCGCCGCCGCCTCCGCCGCCGCCGCCCGGCCGTCCGCACGGGAAGGCCACGGGGAGGAGGTGGCGGCTGCGGAGGCGGCGGCGGCGGCGGCGGCGGCGGCGGCGGCTGCTGCTTGGCGTCCACTTGGCACACCAGCTGGTTGGTCAGCCAGCACATGAGATCGTCGTCCGAGTGCGTGGGCATCATACTGGATACGGCACGACGAACTGTAATCGCAGCGAGCACGGGACGCCATTAGACCGGAGCGCGGGACGCCATTATAAGAATGCTTGGCCAATACGCCGCATGCATAGCGGCATGCTTTCGAATTACTGAATATCAAAGCTCCTGGAGCGTTTGCAACACGCTGACTGCAAGCCCCGTTATCGGTGATCTCCTCAGCTTTCTTGGTCTGACTAAAGTCTGGGTTTATGACATGCTACGGGATGCAAGCTAATCGATCCAGTAGAACACACGGCGTATCTGATGGTCTGTGCACACAAGAAAAACAACTACCTATATTTACCGGAGTGAATTTATCGCCGAAACCAAAACAAAGCCGCGATCCTGATACCACGCGGCGCAACATGGCATATTTGCAACTTACCTTCGTAAATATCGCTTATATCAGCTAATAACGCATATCATCCTCGCACCGATCTGAAAAGGAAAACAGGTTTATCAGTTAAATCGGTGGAACATAGGCCATGACTAGCAGCGCAAAAATAGACCGCATGGTAAAACTCGTGACGAAGAAATTGACGGTGCGTCGGGACATGCTGGAACGCTACTTACTCGCTCATTGGAGCGAGTGGCGAAGCTCATGGCATAACAGCGGACAATTTTTTGTATTTGTTTGTCAATGTTTGCTATCGAGGGAGACAAATACGCCTTCGGGTCCCACCAGTTGGCTCAGAGCTCAGCTACCGTTGAACGGTAAAGCCACGCTGTGGGGCAAAAGAAAGTGCGTTTAGGAAAGTTATTTTTAAATTTTTACCATACTGACTAATCGTTTGCTCGAGAATTTGACAATCAGGTTCACGAGAGGTTGCAGAGATGAGCACACATCAATATTCACCAAGGAGTTTATCCATTTACACTGTGCCTTCCGCATAGAGCAGGGCGAACACAAATGAGGCCAGCCCGTAAAGTCAGGGACAGCGACGGCAGGTCGTCTGAGAACATTCGGCGGGGAGGGGCAGCAAAGGCGATTTCTCACTGTTGCTTTCCACACAGCAGCATGGAGTTACTGCTGCTATGCCGATTGGGCTGCCGCGCGCTCCCCCGCGTCCGCAACGTGCATCCGCTGCATTCATGTCCGATGCGGTCCTCCAATTCAACCGAGCCAAATGCACCACTTCCAGCCTAACACCTGCGCGTGCTCCGCCATCTAGCGTACGCTGAGCTTACTTAAGCTTTCAAACTGCCCCCTGGAGTTCGCGAGTACTAACGACCGACGGGAAGGTTAACCAAAATGGTGGCTAAAATATTTCGTTACGTAGTCAACGTTTCGACGTAAATTTTATTAATTTTTGACGCAAAATGGATAAAAACATTTTAGTATTTTATTATTGAGTATAAAACGGCTGCAATATATATCATTTGCCTATCAATGGACGTAAAACTGTACTTCTAGCAATATTACGTCATCCCGGATCTAGTCAGGAAACTTGCTTTTTGCTCGCGTTAGGCGACATTTATGTCAACAAACATGGCAGCGCTCTATGGAAGCAGTGGGAGCAGCGACGAGTTGGACCCGGAGTCAGAGTGTTTTGATCCATTGCAGGCTCTTTATTCCGATGAAAGCACACCACCGTGCGGCAATGTTAAAGTGTACGACAATGTTCAGCAGTATGAAAGCTACATCAAGGCGGCCAAGGAGGGTACCCTGCGCGAAAGAATTCAAAAAGTATGTGTTCAAGAGCACGGACCATTCTTTGTACCCACCAGAGCTTGCAGTGTCACACGGACAGGCCTAAGATGTTTGAATTATTTGATGTTTTTGGAACTCTTAGGATTCTTTGGAATCTCAAGATGTCTTACATGTGTTGGTGATGCAGGTGTGGCACAAAATTTGCCAATCTGAATTGTTCTCAGTGATATGATAGTTAAGTATGAGCTAAATTTTATGTGGAGCCTATTATTGAACAAGGGGAAGCATGGAGTGGATGAAATTTTGACACACAGAGGTGCACCTTATTTGTGGAAGTGGGCAGCATGGTCTGTATAAAGAGATAATGCATCTCCCAATCTCTCCCCAGTCCCCAAAAACATCATCCACTGCACCCAGTGTCTAGGTCATGTTTGTATGTTGAACCTGGCTCAGATGTGCTCACCTTAGGTTGGACCAAGTAGCACTTAATTTTGAAATTAAATTCCTTGGTAAGCATGCACTGGGGTTATTTTGTTTTGAATTACCCTTGCAATGTTATAATCCTGGGAAACCAGCTCTCAAAACACACACTTTGTGCAGTGTGGTCATAACCTGACCTGCTCATCCTCATTTAGTCGGCTTAGAAAACAGCTGTCACCAAATGGGTCTAACTTGGAATGAGCTTTGCTCTGAGCATGCTACCACCTTTAATGCTTAGTGATAAAAAAACACTGGTCTTGTGAATGGATAATATTATTTTAAGTGTGAGGAAACAATTATGCAGAACTCATTTCAAGCAGAGTATTTCTTACTGAGAGGCATGAGGTAGGTGTCTAAAAACATAACCACCAGACAAATTTTATTTTGCTGCCATCCTCAGGAATCAAGTCATATGTGACAAGCCTCCTTATAAAGAAGACAGATAACTGTATTTTCTGCTTTTCTGAAAGACAAAACAACAACTGTGCTTCACTCTGGCATTAAGTATCTGCAGAGAAAACTGGTTCAACACTAGTGCATTTTTCATCCTTGGTTACTCACCACTAGATTAACCAGTCATTTAAATGCAGCACAATGTAAGCACATGCTTATGGCTGTTTGCTATAGGCAGTGTGTGGTTGTTGTGTGAAACACTTACATGGGAGTCATACCCATCTTTTATGGTTGCTGAATGGCAAGAATGGGCATGTTTTTGTGTCAAAGTTTTATGCTTTATGATCTCTCATTCAACCCCAAGGCATTCTTGGGACAGAGAATATCAAATACAGCTGAAAAGAATAAAGCAAATTGTTTCAATAACTTATTTTTCCAGCATTGCTGCTTGCAGCTTACTTCCTTCAGATGGCAGATGGCAGACAAAGCAAAAACATAGGAACCGACAGCCTGTCAGTTGTACTTGACATGTTTGTGCTTAAGTCATTGACACAAAGGCACTGTTCATGGTCATGGCATGTTGGTGGCCTATATGTTGACCCCATGTAAATAATTAAGAGGACAGACTTGTTGTTTTCATTGCGAAGTTGGCCACTGGTTCATCAATATGTGCAGCATTTGTCATACATGTTGCATACACTCCCCAAATGTAGGTTCTACCCAAGTGCCACCTATAGAATGCTGCTTCATTGTGATGGCCAGCTGTTGGCTTTGTGTAAACAACTAAGCTGTTGCTGCTATGACACCAATTTCAGGCTAGGTTCATGATTAGGTGGGCTGTCCTGATTTTGTGATGCCTGATAAGGTCTGAGGCAGGCTGCTTGAAGTGCCAAGAGGGCAGCAGTGCATCTACCTGTGGATTACATGTGTTAAGTATGTGCTGCATTGATTATTTACTCCCTGTTGATGTGACACAGCACCAATATTATTTGATTGTATTATTTGCTCACAATTGATCATTTACTGGTTGATTTATTGTTCTATGCCAGGCATCATGTTCTTTCATGGCAGATGCCCTTGACAAATGCAACCATTCCCTCAATATTATCCTGCATGCAAATATCAGACAATGAATCATAGGGATGCTGGTGAATATTTCACCATAGGCATTGCTTTCGGGTACTGACACTCATGTTCAGGTTGATAAAGCATGGGCACTGTCAAACATCTTCAACAGAAACTTCTAGCAAGCTTCTACTCATGTCCATTTTAGTAGCACAACATTGCAGTACTGACCAGACCTCAGGACACTAGGTGCTGGTGGTTTCCTGGTATTATTATATGTGCAGGTGGGAAAATTTCAAGGCTATGTCCAGTGTGCTACACCATGATGAAACACTGGCTTAGATTGGTCCAGAACTGTGGGAATGGCCCCCAAGCATGGTGCTCAGGAGCATGCTCAGCCTCGCGATTCCGGTGCCGAGGTTGCCTTATCAGGAAGTCCTGTTGTACATTGCATCACAGTCAGATGGAATCTACAGTAACTAACCGCAGCAAGTGCAGACTCGTCAGAAGTGTTTGTCTCGTCGTACTTAGTCCCTAAATGGTGCTACTCTCGTCCGGGGGACATATAAAGGGGAATCACGTCACGCCGGCCGGGGTGCATCTGACGGTTAAAAAGGGCTCTCATCTTGATTTTCTCCATCCAGAAAAATGGCCCGTCCTCAGTCGAAAGACTTTACGCTTCTCATGGTGGGACCTACTTTGAGATTTTCAGTGGAGAGAACTATTGTATTTGTGAGATGTGTGTGTTCAAGCATGTTTGAGATGCTTTTGTTGCTTTCCCACACTGGGTTAGTGAACTCGTAATATTTGGAAAACCCGTTATTGTTTGTGAGCGCCGAAGATTGAGGTTAATTATGACATTGTGTCCGATACTCTAGGTCGGAATGCGCTTGTGATCCGTACAACGCACGTTACCCGACGGGCTAGAACTGAAATAAAAAACTACAGTAGACTACTAATAGGCATTAGAATCTGACCTAGCTATAGTTTTGGGGTTTTCTGTTTACCACAGGAAAGTATTGAATAATTTAATGGCTTCATTATACTGATGCTGCGTTATCAGAAACGTAGTTGTCTACCATTGCACGACCAAAATAGATAGCAGCCGTTATCAGGGCCAGTGTCCATGCTCATTGTTCGGACTCATTTATCTAAGCAAATACACCACCAAAAGTTGTTTTTGAAACAGTAGCATTGAAACATGGAAGGCCTTAAGTAAGTGCGGGGAAATAAGCATCTTGTCAGATGCGCTGCCCGTCATGCTTCGAGGCGTTGACCTCAGCAAGGTACCAAACAATATAAATGCCTGTTAAGTATCGCTGACTGATATTGGCGGCGGGTGCGGTACGTGTCCCGCTGGCGTTTGTTACGCAGTTTTTATGGATGCAGTCGAACCTCTTACAGCTGTTTTACCAAGCGCGTGCAGAGACGGCAACCATGCCGCCACAGTTAAGAGATTGCTCGGAAACAAGACTGATCGAGTGCAATCTACCAGACAATTTCAAAGTTTCTGCTCTCGCGTACCGTGCCGTCCAGCCGGTGCCGGCGCCGGCCCCACCCCGCCACCCTTGTGACCCGTCTGCGTGCGCCCCGCAGGCGGCCGAGCGCGGTCGCGGCCGTGGCCGTGGCCGGGGCCGGGCCACCTCTGCCAAGGAGGTGGCACCAGAGATGACGGCCCCGCCGGTCGGCGGCGCCGGGGGCGTTCCGGGCACGTCGACCCCCGCCGCGGCCGGCCAGGGCGACTCGGGTTCGTCGGCGCCCGCCGCGGCCAGCCAGGGCGACTCGGGTTCGTCGGCGCCCGCCGCGGCCAGCCAGGGTGGCGTCGAGCGGTTCATCATTCCCGGCCGTC